AAGGACATTAGGTTTTAGTGTCAGTCGTTCAGTACAGTCACCTCTATAGAACAGACACCTGTCTATAAAGGACACTAGGTTTTAGTGTCAGTCGTTCAGTACAGTCACCTCTATAGAACAGACACGTGTCTATAAAGGACACTAGGTTTTAGTGTCATTCGTACGCTACAGTCACCTCTATAGAACAGACACGTGTCTATAAAGGACACTTGGCACTTCCTTTGAGTGTGGCAGTTATACGATAAAATCATCTATGGAACGGACACTAGTCTGCAAATGACACTTTTAGCATGTTTACTTGGGTGACCTTTCTATACAGGTTTGTTTGAATGCATTGTGGTGACAAGTTGACACAATCTTGACACCGGCGTAAGTTGGCGAGGACCATGATCTATTGCACACGACGTCTGTACACTTTTTGCGAAGCGCAGCGCGAATATTCCATGCAGTGATACTGTAAATAGGAAAGACTGTGAGCGCATCGTCGAATCAATCCGCGATGCAGCGCATAATTGTTTTATGTATTACGAGATAATTTGTTGTGCTAGTGAGTACTCTTAGGAGAGAATCAGTGCAATATTTCGTGACAGGTGTCTTCGTTTTAGTTGTGGTCACTCAACCTCGTGGCAAGCAGGTATATCACCATCACGTGATGCATACAGCGACGCTGAGAGGGTCTATGTCCCCCCAGGGTACTGCCGGAATGTACCCTGGGTACGGTCCGGTATACCGGAACGCACCCTGGTACAATCTAATATGCCGGACCGTACCTCGCCTACTCCACTAACGAGTCTATAGGGAGTTGCCTACGCCTACTCCCTAACCCTAACCCTAACCATATCAGATAGTTACCAGGGTACGTTCCGGCAGTACCCTGGGGGACATAGACTCTATGAGCTACAGTGACGGCCACTTTACATCATATCATGGTCACGTAAATCTATATGGTAGGCTGGTAGCAGACTACTTTATATCATTGCCATGTGACAGACATGGTGGCACGTGTGGTCACATGGTGTATATAATGATAGACTAATTTATATCATTGCCATGTGACAGACAAGGTAGCATGTGTGGTCACATGGTGTATAGAGTGATAGACTAATTTATATCTTGCGTGGGTGTAACATGTACACGTACTTTGCTCAACAACCCACTGCTCAGTTGGCGCGGCACGCCCTCTCGTATTTTCTATTTTCTTTGCAAAAGACAGATGTCATGATGGTGTCAAAAGCAATTTTAATTATAAAGTGAATCCGAATATATTTGATATCCCGTTTAGTTAGTTTTCACGAACGATTTCGATTTCTCTGTCAATCTGTCAGGCTCAATGAAGTTGTCTGCCTTTATCACCAGATGGCAGCAGGTGACAAGAGCACTCTTGCCTTCTACTAGTATAAGGCGTAAGCCAGTGCCTTTAGTGTATGTATGTGGAGGGGTGGGAGCACTACATGTGTAGCCAGTTGCTCTGCCTCAGCCTTCGCTCCTGTATTGGAGCGAGGGGTTATACTTATACAGGTAGAGCATGGGGTGGGGGTAGCGTTTTATATCAACACTCCCTTCTGGACGTGTCTGGGGATTATAACACTACCTGCAAGTGCATCGCAGTGCCATTAACTTGTGCCTAGACGGTAGTGTGTGAAGGGGAGATCCCATATC